GCACTATTAAATAATAAAATAAATAAAATTTTAATTTCTTTTTCTTTCTTAATATTACATAGTAATGTCAATCAGTCTACTTTCAAAATTATTACCAAATACTCCCGTACAATATAATAAATGAATATTGATTTTTTAATTTTTTTTAATTTTTTTACTTTCTTAATCATATTAATTAATCTATATCTAACATTTCAATTTTTCTTATTGAAGAGGGTTATAGTGTCATTTTCACATGCGACTATTTAAATGATAAGGAAGGGGAAAAAAAATTATATATATATATAGTACTATTAAAGTTGTGTTCAATACTGTAATGGGCATGCATAATTTTAGATTGTGAAAATGTTTTGATTAATTTATGGTTTTTATGAAGACTCCCAAGAAGTAAATATTGCTATAAGCCTATAGTACAATAGGATAAGAATTCTAATTAAAGAAAACAGAACAATAATGCAGGAAGTTCTTGATTTTGCATGGTGGCTAATCAAGAGCAAAAAACTGCCTCTAATTTCAAAATCCATTACTTAAAAGTTAAAATACTTGCTTATAAGTAAAATAACTTTCTTTACCAATCAAATCTGAAAAAATAAGTTACTTTTAGCTTATAAGAATTCTGTTAGTACTGAGAACTGTACAAACACAAGTGAGGAACTGTCACACCAAAAAATCTAAAAATCATGGCTTTCCTAGTAGAAACGGACAGACAAACATTCAGATCTTTAAAGAAAAAAAGTAGATTTTTCATTCAATTCCATCACACACACAAAATCCCAGAAACTGCTTTATCTAAATCCCACAATCTTTCTGATTGTATGTACAATCAGTTTTCATAATTCAAGAAGAACATATTGTTGCCATCTCCAGTACTAATTAGTTCCTTAACTTCCTCGAGATCATATTGTAACTGACTGTTGCCAAAAATCCCATTTTCCTTTTCATGATCATCGGAAAATGTACTGAGGGGATCATCACTATTGATCTTTCCATAATCAAGCATAAATTTTTTATTTTCTTCAATCAAGAAACCCTGAAAACAGCCCATTTCTTCCTGTTTTACATCTTTTCTGTAGCTGATAAGACTGAAACTTCCATCAGATGAAGAACAACTTGCTTCATTTCCACCAAACATTAGCATATTCTGATCTTTCACAGGATAATATTTCAAATCCATCAGACTCTCTTGATTTTGAGAGTAATAAGAACATTGATTGGTAAATGAAGGAGTGTTATTATTATTGTAGAGAAAATTTTGCGGGAGTGAAGAGGAGTCAAATCCTGAAAGGGATTTTGTTGGGGTGTATAATGAGTTGAGATTATCTTTATATAATTGGGACAGATTTGGGAGTGATTGAGAAAGAGTTGCAGAAAATGATGACATTTTTCCTTGGTAATCTGGGGTCAATTTGCCTATGAGCTTCTTCTTTAGCTTGGTGTTCCAGTAGTTCTTGATATCATTATCCGTCCTCCCTGGCAACTGCGCAGCTATGATTGACCACCTGCATTTTTCAAAAACAATTTAGAAAAAACAATCGAATTTCCTCGTCTAAAAGCTTAAATAATTAGAAAAGACAATTGTCTCCAACTAATCCTCTCGCCTACAGATGAACAAGAGTGAGACTTAGCATCAGTTGAAGATCTAAAATGGCATGCACACATGAAACTGTCAGAATCTTGTAAAATATGTTTCTTCAACGGTTTCAGATTTTTACATTTTTATCACTCTTTTCTTCATGATATTATCAAGACACACTCAAAAACTGTGGGGAAAGCCAGAAAATGTAATCTAACTTTGATTTTATAAGTATACCTGCTTCCAATGGTTGCATATAGTGTGCAGATTATTCTATCTTCCTCATCAGAAAATTCACCGTGTTTAATATTAGGCCTCAAATAATTAAGCCACCTTAATCTGCAGCTTTTCCCGCATCTTTTCAGACCTGGATTTAACACCAACCCGTCAACATAAATGCAAAACACAAAAAGCAAAGAAATTTGTGTACATACCGGCTTTTTGAGGTAGAGCAATCCAATTCCCACCAGTGCCATATTTCTCGATGAACTCTTTGAGCTGTGCATCTTCTTCAGGTGACCATGGTCCCTTCTTCACATTTGCCTTGTCACAACAAGGAGCCCTTCCCATTTTTCTCTCTATAACTTGCTATAAGTACACGTATGTTGGCAGTTTAAGAAATTTCTCTCACTTTTCTCTCCCTATCTGTGTCTAATTGACTTGGTGTGTGAAGGGTTTGGGGTTTTTATTGAGAGAAAACCGTGGTTAAGAAACAGTGTATGAGTGATTTTTATATTTCTTGAAGAGTTACATAAGTCAAAGAGATAGGGTTACTAGATTAATTTCAAACTTCTCAGCTAAATAGGTAGCTGTTAGACTCAGAAGTTTCCATCTCATGATTATACAGTAAATGCTGTATACAATCGTGATGCTCCTTCTCTCTTTTTTGAACCCCATTTTTTCGTGCATTTTAAAGTAATAAATTGAAGGAAAATGTTTGATCCAAATAATAGGGAAAAAATTT